GGAACCAAAGTCACAGCCAGCGTGCTATGCCATCACTCATGGTGGAGGGAGGTCACATGTTTCATGATTCACACACACACACACACACACACATCAGCTCTGTGAGCAGCTCTTCTATATTTAACACTGAAGCCGGCCAAAAGAATCAAGTGATCTCAGAGATGTAGCGCCAGACTCAGGCTTCTGTTCTCATATGAAGGCCTCCCATCTGTTCAGGGCCAGGCCTACTATTAGGCAGGGTGAGGTGAGGCAACCAACCTAGGGTTGCTAACCTCCAGCTGCTGCCTGGAGGGCTCCGGCTATTACAGTTGATCCTCAGAGGACAGAGATCAGTTCCCCTGGAGAAAATGGTTGCTTTGGGAGGTGGACTTCATGGAACTAATATACCAGCGAGGTCCCTCCCCTTCCCAAGTCCTGCCTTCTCCAGGCTCCGCCTCCCGAATCGCCAGGTATTTTCCAACTCACAGCTGGCAACCCTAAACAAACCTCAGAAAGCATCTTTTGGGAATGCAACAAAAGGGAGTAAGCTCTCAGTTCTTTAATTTATTGCTATATCTTGACACCAGGAGGGGACATTGTGAAGATCCTCCGCCTCAGGGAACATAAAGAACTGGCTCATCTTTGCATCAGTGCTTGAAGCCGCTCAAAATCTTGAGGCTGATGGTGAATGAGTGTTGTGCAGTGGGTGAGACGCATGTAGAAGCCACAGAGACGGATGTAGTGATCAGCATGGTTTACTGGTACACGACTAGAAGATAGAACACCGGCCAGAGGGGATTGTTGAAGGGCATCTCTGCAAAAATATGGTTTTTTTAAAAAAAAGGGTTTCAAAAAGATATTGTATTATCTCTGTGCCGCCTTACCCCTGCTCCTAAAAACCCCACACAACTAAAGCTAAACCAGGGTGTGCAGACAGAGGGTCACAGAACCCTGAGGGTCACAAAGATAATCTGGGGGCAGGGCTTCAATGCACATCAGGTGTGAAGGAGAAACCAGAGCTAAAAATGGAGAGAGAAACCGATTACTCTGGGCTGTATGAAATCTCCGTTGCTGGGGCGGTTTCACACAGAATCGCATCAGCAACCAGACAGCCATGAAAAATCACCCTGGTGTGGAAGCACTCCAGCACCCCAGCTTTGAAAAGGCTGCGCATCTCCCTAAAGCCACGAAGTCCTGAATCTTTTAAGAAAATTAAGATGAGAGTAATGACACAAAACATCCTGTTAAATGTTACAATGACTTAGGGAACAAAAGGAACAAAACACAATGTGGTGAGTATGCCAGTTTGGTGTAGTGGTTAAGTGTGCAGACTCTAATGTAGGAGAACCGGGTTTGATTCCCCACTCCTCCACTTGCACCTGCTGATGTGACCTTGGGTCAGTCACAAGCTCTGGCACAGCTGTCCTTGGAAAAGAGCCGTTTGTGCCAGAGTTCTCTCA